GTCTATTACAGACCCGGTTGTAGGAACCGGGTTTACAATTGGGTGAAATAGATGGACCTAGATGAATCTGGGTCTATGTTGGGTTAACCCAGTTAGGTCAACCTAGCTCACTGGGTCGCTCAACCCGCTGGGTGTGGGTGGGCCTAGGATAGGCTTGGTTGTCTTAGGCCAGATCGGGCCAAGTGGGGGTGTGGGCTGGTCCAAGCTGTTGGGCTTTAGGGATGGGCCAAGCTGGTTAGGCCGGGCTTGGCTAGTGGGTCAAACTAGCAAGTCGACGAGTGAGCCGAGTCGAGTTGAGCTGAGCCAAAACGAGTTGGTGATAAAAAAGAGGAAAATTGACTAAACCGGCTAATGAGTTTGACCAGCTGGTTTAGTGGGTTTGTTGGCTCAAATTTTTGAAATAAGACCGATTCTGGATTTAAGAGGATGAGATCTGTTGGACCATGTGAGTTCGTGGGTTCAAGGAGGTTCGATTCAACTAGAAATTTGATGTTTTTGATTGAACTGGCCTAGTTTAAGCCGATTCAGAGGTTTAAGTGGGCGGTTCAACCCTGTTTTGAGTAGTTCTTGATTTGTTTAGATTAGTTCCTAAGGTTTTTGGGCCTTTTGAATTTGATTTGAGGGTTTCTCGGCTGGTTTAGTTCGGTCTGAGGTAGTTTTAGGCCGATTTAGGACATTTCAAAGGTTTTGGAGGCCAGTTCATTATAGATTGAGGGTTTTAGAGGCTGGTTCATTATGATTTGAGGTTGTTGAGTAAAATTAATGAGTGCTAGTGAGTTGCGTGAGTCCCGATAATGGGTTGTGTATGCCTTGAGATGCATGTCAAGGTTGCAGGATGGGATTTGAGCCTAATTTTAGGCTATCGAGCCATTTTTTTGTGTCGATTTTGTGTTAATGATGATTTTGAGTGATTTTAATTATAGATACACCAACAAAAGAGCACTTGGACCAGTGAGTTAGGGGACGGTGACTCGGGAATTCCCTATTGACTTGATTTCTGTACTGTGAGTGCTAATAACTTTTCTATGATGCATTTTTTTACTATGATTTTCTGGCATGACTGATTATATGTTTTAAAATCTGTATTTTGGTGTATGTAGTTATGGGATATGTGTTATGTGGTTTAGTATACAGTCAGTGAATTATGTTAATATGTGATAATGGTTTGAGTTATGGATTGTATATATTTGTTTTGGATTTATATTTGAGGAGTCGTGATATGTACTGAGATTATATTCCTCTAGTGAGCTTGTTGGTCTGGCGTGATGTGTTGCTTTGATGAGCATGTTGCCCTAGTGTGTGTGATGTGGACTTGATTGGGTGATGGGCATCTGACGTGTTTGTGATTGTGGTTATGGCTGTGATGCTTCTGAGCATTGAGATGGTTGATTCCTCTGATCGTGAGAGCCACAAGGTTGGAGTCTTGCGATGTGATAGTTACACTTCTATATATAAATGTTTTGATATTGAAATTACTTATTGTATTTATATATATGTGTTTATAAATAGTTTTGGACTTGTGGTATGATACATATCCCGGCATGTATAGATTAGGTATTATCTGTATTCATTGAGTTTCGTAATTCATTTTTTTATTATCATTCAAGATCGGGGTGACTGTTTGTATTCTAACTCATGGTGATTTGAGCTGAGTTTCCAAGATTCAATTGATGTACGAGCATGTTTCATTATGTTGTCATTTTGTACTCTAGATTGCTTATTTGTTTTCTTATATAAGATTCTAGTTTGTATTTAAGGATGTGAGTTGCTTGTTGTGACTGCTATTGTTCATATCATATGTTTGGTTTGATGATGTATTGCAGTGGTGAGACTGACTAGAGTTGGTGGGCCCTAGTGTAGTCACGGGCCCAAGTTTAGGTCGTGACACATGCACACACACACCCTCAAACCCCTTTACGGTGATTTGGGAGTAAAATTATACTCCCTTCGGAAGGTATTTTCCCTTTAATACTCCTTCCACTCCACTCTCCTCAACACGCACACGCACGTTTTTAGTAAAATAAAAAATATTCTAATTAATTAATTTCTTAATAAATTAGATATTTATTATTTTATAATTTATTTTAAATAATTTTTATGATTAAATAATAAAATTTATTTTTTCAAACATTTACTGTTAAAGAAGACCTCAATATTCTTGGAGGGCCACGCTCATGAGCTCTCGACATAATGCGAGGAGGCAGTTCGCATGAAATTGTTAATCAAAATATTTCATCCTAATTAAACATAAAAACTGAAGTTATATAAAAAAAACCACAAGAAAAACTAATAAATAAAAATAAATTAGCATATTAAAATCTGGTAAGATATGGTCGATGGTTCTCTCTTAAATTATTGTACTACAATTTATAAAGAAAATGTTTTCATTTCCATGATCCAAGTAAACTAACTAATAGGAGAAACTCGTGGTCGTAGCCATGAGATTAGACTTAGCACGTTATAATAATTTATTTTGGTAATTAATATAAATATTGATCGGATATTGATGGTACGACTTGGGGGACATCATCATATTCAAATGGAATTATTGAAAAAACTTTATATATGCCCGGAATAGCACGTGGTGGCCTACAATAATAAATTAAATAAAATTTAAATTTGAATATATATTTATTTTCCATAATGATTTGAATTTATTATAAAATTATTCTATCATGTACAACTATATGGGTAAAAAAATGTACAATTATAGATAAGTATAATTATAGATTAGATTTTAATTTGAATTTGATTAAAATATTTAATAAATTAAATCCAATTATAAATAACTGTAATCTGAAATAAGTGAATTGTATATGAAATTAAGCAATTCAGTTTGTTAAGGATCCAAATCTGAATTTTAATTATATTTTTTAATTAAACTAATAATCTTATATATACATGATATTAACAAATTTAAAATTATAGAGATTAAATTGAAAAGAATTCAAAAATTTAAGGACTAATATGATTCATAAAATACAGTTAAGGGATTTAAATGTAAAAAATGATTATTTTTTTGGATTAAGTTTTCTTATCGAATTTTGAATCATTCATTAGATTCGAATATAATTTAACAAATATAGATCTTATAAGGATTTTAACTAGATTTAAATATAGTAATAGTTAATCGGATTTAGATTTAAATATATCTGATTTGATCTAAATTCAACTTGTTGACAATCCAATAAGTATTTCCTTTTTGGATCAATACTTATGTATAAATGTTAATCCTATATTTCAATTATTTTTAATTAGGTCTTTCAACTTAGTTATTTTTCATTTTTTTTTTGTCCGTATAGAAACATTTTCATCTCAACATCCATCTTCTCTCTCTATCTCTCTCTCTCTCTCTCTCCCTCTCTCTCTCTCTCTTCCCGCTTTAGGAAGATTATAATAACCTTAGTTTCTTGTAAATAATAAGTTTATGGATGAAAGAGAAAATGATTATCTAATTTTTTTGGTAACAAAGTGATTATTTAATTTTTGTTTAAAAAGTAACAATTCAAAATTAAACAAAATATTATCTTCGCATATTTTCTTTACCCAAAAGCTGACCACTGGACCATTTTTGTGGTTAGGGTGACTCTTGGGCCCCCAATACAGTCTCACCAACAGGCTGCGGCCACGACTGGACCTTTGTTGTGGTAGTGGGTGACTGATGGGCCCAATAATTTCGCCAGTCGTCTGCTCCCTGCAGCCCACTTATGTAAAATCCTTAATGCGGCCCAACATCAACTCTTCCAACTCTGCTTTCTGGCCCACCAAACCCCACCAAGAATATTACTTTACCCTCGAAGCATATGCGCTTTTGACTTTTGAAAGAACCAAGAAAGAATCATCCCCTTGGTCATTTCTCACCCTTTCTTTTTAAAGGGAAGTTTCTACGTTTTTATGCAGCTAATCAAAATTCGACCCGTCTAGTCGATATTTGTAGTTAAAAAAAAATATTGATGGTTGGAAAATTATCTATGAGGATGAAGTAGTAATTTTAATTATTGAGAACATTAAAAAAGTAAAATATTTTATTTTGAGATTATAAAAAAATTATATAATTAAAAAGATATTTATATTTTTAAAATTATTATTATAAACTATATAATTATAAATATATGATTGTATATTTATAAATATAAATTTATATAATTATAAGTATGTATTAACACAAATAAAAATTTTATAATAACTACTTTGTAATAATTATATATATATTTGTAATTATACATATTTATATTTATAAATATTTAGATACGTACATATAATAGTTATAATAATAAAAATATTTTAAATTAGATAATTTTTATTTTAAATTCTTAATATAAATATTTTATTCATAACCTCTCAAGTAATTAATAGTAGGAAGCTGTCCGACATGATAATATTCTTTCGATTGTCTTTTTTATTTCATAAAATGAACTGGTAAGGCTGTGAAGTTATGTCTTAAAAAATAATATATTTCTTCGCACAAAGTCAAGCCTTCAACAATGACGTCTTTGGCTGAGTCAATATCGTCGTCTTTAAGGTACCATAAATTTTTAATTAACGCAAACAACAATACGTGTCTATGGATAGCCAAATTTTATCCAAATAATTTTTATTTAAATATCATTTTATCTTCTGAAAAATAAAATCCAAAATATAAAATTTAAGTAGTTATTAATTAGAGAAGAAGAGTCGGTAATACGGTAAAAGTAGAACGCGTACTTCATTCGGCGGAGGAAGAAAATACCATGACCTGGCAAGGTAACGCGTCCACCCATGGTTACGTTGGCTGAGGGGTTAGCGGGGCCCAATCCAGATTACCAGTTCTCAAAGCTGGAATTCAAAAACATCCTCCAATCAATTCCTATTCTGTTTTTTCATCTTTGACTCCAGTAATGCAGTTCATTTCTCTCCCATCCCACGTATGTGGATATTTGGGGCGTATATGTGTAAGAGTGAAAGAGAGTATGAATTAGTGTTTTAGCTTCTGTTTCTGGGTAATTGCTGTTTTTTGGAAGGAAGAGTAAGAGAAATAATGAGATCGGAGACGCTGACGCTGGTACTGGTGAACCTCGCCGGAATAATGGAGAGGGCCGACGAGTCACTGCTGCCGGCGGTCTACAAGGAAGTCGGCGCTGCCCTCCACGCCGACCCCACGAGGCTGGGATCCCTCACACTGTTCCGGTCAATCGTGCAGTCTTCGTGCTATCCTATCGCCGCCTACCTCGCCATCCGTCACAACCGCGTCCATATCATCGCCTACGGCGCCTTCCTCTGGGCCGCTGCCACCTTCCTCGTCGCCTTCTCCTCCACCTTCTTTCAGGTCCTCTCTCTTTCGAATTTTGTTTTTCTCCTGTTCTTCGTTTTGATTTTGAATTGTGGAATTGGAAATCTCATTCTTCTGATCGGCAATTAGGGGGATTTGGCCACCAGTCAGGTCCATACCATGAATTCTTCGATTGTTTCAGTTGAGCTGCTAGTTCTACCAGATAAAAACTTAATGAGATGGATCTTCTTAAATAAACTGTTTGTATTCCATTCTAGGTCCTGCTGCACATTGTTGGAACAAATAACTGTTTCAGTTGCAGAAGTAAAACTTCAATTTGTACTTCAACTTTGTGATGCACCCAGGAATTTGCCAAAATTATTGTAATAAGCTTGCTGGTAGTGTCGTAACTATCATTGCTTTGCACAGTCAATCATTTAACGAAGTTAACAGAAGAAGATCGGAGGGCAAGCCATAAATGGAAGATGAAGAATTTTGGATAATTCTTTTCCTTTCTCCATCTTCATCTTCGCATTGTTGTCTAGAGTCTTGAAAATGATTGCCTTGGGAGGACTGGAAGAACAACTAATTACTTGGGCAACTGATTGGGACAATGTTTAGAGGACTTAAGGAGTACAGATGACCTGAAGGTTTTGGAAAAATTAAATGCTGAGGAGACATTCTGTAGTTGATCCCATGATTCATGCTACAAGAAGCGGTAAAAACTGGATAAGTCCTAGCCTTTCCATAGCTGTCCAGTGTAATGTTTTCAAAATAAAATGTTCATTTGTACCCTTGCCATCCTGGGGTTTCCAGGACAATGCATATTCAAACTGTCTTATGAATTTGAAAAAGTATAGTATGAGCATTAATGCATATGCTTTTGGTTGTTGAATATCTGTTTAGTATTTGTAGATGTAGATGCTTTCTTTAAAAGAAGAATTATGCGTTCTGTGCAAATCATAAATGTAGACTGGTGTGTAAGAGAGAAGATAGAAGATAAAAAAATTCAAAACCCTGCGAACTTAAAAAAACTTGATTTTCAAAAACAATACATTTAGAGGATCTTTCTATATCTAGGGTCAGTCTTTCATCCTCAGCTTGTGTTCACTCTGTATGCTTCATGGCTTTCCTATGCTATTTTTTATTACTTCTACTCTTATAGCATGCTCTAATTTTTCCCTTCTTCCTTGTACACCCGCTATCAGTAACACCTCTTCTATTGTTCTCCTTGGGGTGTTTCCTTCTACTCGTGAGTCATGGTAAGAGGGGTGGCCTCTCTTGGCTGCAGCAATGTTTTGACCCCTTAATTCCCACAGTTTTAAGGATTTCTGCAGACATTAAGTGCAATTAAACTAGTTTTCCAGACAGATGAAAGAGGAAATAAAACCATTAACTTGTATAGCTCATTCTAGGAATGCTGGGAATGCCAGAATAAATATCAAATATCTTATTGCTTCTGCACATTTTCTATGAAAACAGTGGAGAGTAGCCTGTCAAGGCAGTTATGTGGCTCATTCTCAACTTGATGGTATCTGGAGCATGGCTTTGATACTTTTTACAGAAGAGTTTTCTCTTCCATGGATCTGTTGTACCTCAAATTTCTTGATATTTAATGAGGGATTGTACGTCTTGGGCAAAGTTGCTTACAAGGGCAAAGACAGCATATATGGCATGGAGAACCATGTACACAATTAGGCAACTCTTGGAATGAAACTAACTAGTATGCCAAAAGAAATGGAGTCCCATATTGCTAATATCCTGGAATAAGCTTGTTGCTTGGTGTAAATGATGACCATGTATTCTTTGTTACAGTAATTTCTTTTACATAATTCCTTATTCCCTGTTAATTCAGATTGAAAGAAACTTGATCACACATGGAATGAGCAAGGGATTCTCTTTTTTCATCTTCCAGTTAGCTACTCCTTACATAAATGAATTGGCTTTTCCAAGTTTTAGTGACTTCTTTAGCCCACCAAAGTTCAAGTCCCATTATGGAAATTTGACAATTATGTGAATAAAAAACTAATTGTTAAATTTGATGCTTAAGAGTTGTTTATAGAATTTAGTATTATCATCATTATTATTTAATTGAACACATGTAAATGATCGGCTTCACCCTTAACTTGTTCAGGTTTTGTTGATCAGGTTGCAGTGTCAAGAGCCTTGAATGGTATTGGCCTGGCAATAGTTGCACCTGCAATTCAATCCCTAGTAGCTGACTCAACAGACGATAACAACCGTGGTACAGCCTTTGGATGGCTTCAACTAACCAGTAACTTTGGATCAGTTATTGGAGGGTTCCTCTCTTTAATGATGGCACCAGTGACATTTATGGGAATTCATGGCTGGAGAATATCGTTTCATCTTGTTGGCATAATCAGTGTAACTGTTGGTATATTAGTTCGCATTTTTGCCCACGATCCTCACTTTCCAGATGGTGGTGCTGACATTAGTGATCAAGTTAGAACTAAATCCTTCCATTCAGAAGTGAAAGATCTGTTTCAGGAAGCTAAAGCAGTGGTGAAGATCCCTTCTTTCCAAATTATTGTGGCTCAGGGTGTCACTGGCTCATTTCCCTGGTCTGCTATGTCGTTTGCTGCTATGTGGCTTGAACTGTCTGGCTTTTCCCATGGGAAGACTGCATTCCTGATAGGAATGTTTGTACTTGCTACTTCACTTGGGGGTCTATTTGGAGGTAGGATGGGGGATAAGCTATCCAAGCGGCTTCCAAATTCTGGCAGGATAATTCTGTCACAGATAAGCTCGGCCTCAGGCATTCCTTTGGCAGCAGTACTTCTACTTGCTTTACCTAGCAATGCCTCCACTCTGGCTATGCATGGCTTGTTTCTCTTCATCACTGGGTTCTGCATATCTTGGAATGCTCCAGCTACAAACAAGTAAATACCTAATCTACCTTTTACTATCTCTGTTACTCATTTTTTATTGCCTTTAGCAAGTCTAATTTTAGGTCTATTGTCATTTGCCAGAATCATGTGGCTTATGCCTCCCTGTTAAATGGGGCCACCATATGCCTGTGAAACTAAAAGATGCATTGGTTCATCACTTTAAATGAAGTCAGTATTGAACCAAAATGGATTTAAAAAATGTGATAATATGATAAGCTATAACCTCACCATTTATACAATTGAGGAGAACAATTGAAGAATTTAAGGGGCAGAAGGATCTGTCAATATTTTGTTTACAAATAGTCAATAACTAAATTTCCCATCATGATTCAATTGATTATTTCCCCAAGTGTTCAATTGATTATTTGGATAATTTTGTATGGACAGTCCAATTTTTGCAGAAATTGTTCCTGAGAAATCCCGAACAAGTATTTATGCTTTGGATAGATCTTTTGAGTCTGTACTGTCATCATTTGCTCCCCCTGTAGTTGGGATATTGGCTCAGCATGTTTATGGTTACAAACCAGTTCCTGAAGGATCTGAAGATATAACAACTGACAGAGGGAATGCTGCTTCGCTAGCCAAGGCACTATACACTGCCATAGGAATCCCCCTGGCTCTGTGTTGCTTGATCTATTCTTTTCTCTACTTCACTTATCCAAGAGACAGGGAGCGGGCTCAAATGGATGCTTTAATAGAATCTGAGCTGCAAACTCTAGAGTTGGATGGTTGGCCTTTAAGAGGAGAGGATTCCCACGTTGAGTTGGAAGCAAAAGAGCTCTATACGGAAGAACAAAGTGTCATTGAGATGGATTATGAAGTGAGAAACAGTCTTGACTTGGATGATGACAGCGATGAGAAGATATTACTTTATCGCCAGCTGACGTTTGCCAATTTAGGCGATAGTACTGCTGGGGAGAAGTAGCAATTTTGATGGGATGTGTTTGAGTCATTGGAATCCTTTTGGGATTGACTCGGTAACTGTTGATCACGCAGGAAAATTTCTTATTCTGCAAAGAAAGAGGCAGATTTTAGGTGTGCATGAGCTAGATCCCCATCTCGTGGGGCTTGTCAGCTGGTAGACTAAGTTTTGGGCTTTTGCTCATACAGAGACATGAGTCTTGTAAACTATGAACTGTTTGGACATCAATTGGTGTCTAGACACCAACATTATAAATAGTAGTTCACAAACCCAATTTCGGGATTAAAGTGTCAGCTTTTTTATTTTGACGCTTGTGGCAGTGAATCATAAATCGATTTTGTTTGAATAAGATCTGGATGGGCCTCACTATAACTACAAACCTCTTGGGCATGTGAAGCATCATTTATATTTTGCTGCAGAGTTTGGCAAAAATTGAAATAATTGCTTCTGTTGATTTCTTTACAGAAGGAAGACAAATTAAAAAAAAAATATTTACATGGGATAATGATGGGTAACAATGTTTTAATATGAAACAATTAAAGAAAACATGATATGTACATATTTATACGTTTTTTTTTTCCAAATAATGTGTTAATTTTGGTTATCGGATTGTAAAATTCCAGAAAAAGAGAGAAAAAATAATAAAACATAAATAAAAATTAAAAGGGGCGACAGAAGCTGTTATAATTCACCTTTTTTCTCTTCCTCTAAAGGCCTAACCAAACACGGCCTAGGATACTTTAAGATTTGACTTGTTCAAATTCTTCATCAACGGTTCCATTTCTGCTGTCATATTCATCTAACCACAAACCATAATCTAAGACATGCATGTACATAGCTTCCTAGACATAATGAGCTGTAAAAGTAAAGAACGCATGACAAAAATACAAGCCAAAGGCCTGGGTTCTCCAACATGTAACTCTGCTGTGCACTTGACCTTTATAAAGTAATCCAAGTCAAGCAAATGAACTGTAACTTTATTTCCTCAGCGAGAGTCTTTGACCGTTCGTTTAGGAACTTATACAGGTTTTCAATTATTGAACAACTTTTCAATTATATTATATTTCATTGTGGATTCTCTATATTATTCGAGTATTTTGGTGGATTCTAACCAGTTGTTTGGATGGCCTTAATTTGCAATCATTACTCTGATTTAGAGTCCAATTTTTGTAACTTTTAATTATTTGACCTACAACTTAAGTCACATGGCTTGAGTTTTTGAATTCAAAATTACAAAATTTGAAGTCAACTTTGACAAGTATTTTGATTCTAGTCACTCTAGTTACCCTCAACCCTGCCCTCTCTTTGGACCACCCCTATTCATCCTGGACCCCACCAACTCGCCACCATGCGATTGTTGTTGGTATTGGTGCCCTACGGTAGTTGATGGATGAAGATCTAGTTGTAAATTTTGATTAGTATCACATGCATGTGACAATGTATATTCTACTGTAGATTAATCGCTTTCAATCACATATGATGATTTTGACTACCACAATGAGCACCAATAGGCTTTGACAACTCCTAGTCGACCACCAAAAGTGGTTGATCCAAATCACTCTATTTTCACACATAAACTGTTAGTTTGTCAATTGACACCCAATGACACGATCAGAAGGAAATACTGTGAATGCTGACGTACACATGCCTTAACCTAGCCAGTCTCGATTGTTGGTAAATAGAGTTTTGGTTATAAACCTAGATCTGCATTGCATGCGTGTGGCAATGTACATTCCAATGTAGATCTGTTGCTGATAGACATCTATGGTGATTTTGATCACCATTATGAGCATTGACAGGCTCTAGTAACTTCTAATCGACAACCAAAGGTGGTTAACTAGTGGTCAATAACTTAGGAAACCAAAAGGCCCAGATCACGAAGGAAATACTGTGAATATTGACTTACATTAACATCAAAACTAGCTGGTCTTAATTGTTGAAAATGTAACACATGCAAATGCTCATTATCAACTAGAAGAGAGTCAGTAAATACAGCCTTACTCTAATGTCAATTAGTAACGACTAGTTGACTGCAGTTATTATAATTATTCAAACAATTTTTCAAAAATAAACCACCTAAAACACCATCACCCAGTCAATTTTTTATAATTATTATAATTTAATAAACATTGACTTGAAATTTGATTTTAAAACTTGACTCAGTCAAATTCTTAGAATTTCCATCCAAACAAAAGTAACCCTACGAGGGCCTCGCAAGCGAGCTTTCACCAGATTTCTACGTTTAAGTGGCTTGGGTGCTAGAAAGGAAGGAAAGACAAATAATTTGCTTGGAGGCATCGGGGTTTACTTAGACATTATTGGAGAGAGAGAGAGAGAGAGACTAGACGAGAATCCAATGAGAGCTTAGACTCCACGGCAAAGACTTAGCAAGAGATAAAAACCACCACATTGTCCTACTAAGAAAAATGGGAGAGACCCACTAACAACAACCAATGCCAGATAAATAAAGGTAAGGTGTAAGAGAAAATCTTCTAGAAACAATGGCCAAGCAAGTGCACAATGTCAATTAGAAGTCGACCACACCCATTGATCATCAATCAACTCTCAAAAATGTCTCCAAAGGTCATGGGAAACCCAAGTTCTGATCATCATTAAGCAACTATCAATAGGTTGGTTTAGTTTTCCTGGACCATCCTTTAAGTTGGGTGCTTTGTTGGAATGACTTGAAAGCCATCTGCTTGAATTTAAACATTAAGAGAATAAAAGTCATGCTAAAAAGTCAGCTTTTGGAAGCTTAATTATTCGGTTTTTTGTTTGATTTGCAAACTGACAGAAACTAGGGAAGTGCCTTTGGTTTTCAGTTTTCCCTTTTTCTATTTTTAGATTAAATTTATAGGAAAAGAATTCGAGGAACTGTTCTAGTTTTGAATCATTTTCATTTTGCTTTCACCTCTTGACCAAAAAAACATAATTTTGTGAAAATTTTACAAACAAGGAGAAGCTATTTGCAAAAAATATATAGAGTAGCTTTCAGAATTTCATTTTCTTAAACAGTTTAAGGAAATAATCTATCAAATAAATTTTACAAAAATTATTAAACTGGTCAGCTTGATAAAATTTATTATCCAAAGAGTTAATATTAAAAATATTAATTCAAAAGATTTAAACTAAAAAATATTGACCTAGGAGATGATTTGATTTCTTACAATAATCTTCCATACTTTTTCATACCCAAATTACAATGAAGAATTTGTAAATTTACAAATATAAATCTGTAAAATTACAAATATATTTTATGTAAAACTATATCTGTAAGTTATAACTATTGTTTTGTAAAATTATTAGTATAAATATGTAAAATTACTAGTATATTTTTGTAAAACTACCGTGACCGCGACCCCTCTCCCAAACTGTAAAATTACTCAAATTACATAAATATATTTGTAATTTTATAAATTCATACTTATAATTTTATAAAAAGATCAATTACAAATATAATTTTACAAAAAATATATTTATAATTTTATAGATTTATATTTGTAATTTTACAAAAACATGTAATTATGAGTATGAAAAGGTATAGAAGGGCATTTTAGCAAATTAAATGATTTTTTAGATTAGTATTTTTCATTTTAAACAATTCGGGCAATATTTTTGATGTTGACCATTTGAACAATAAATTTTATCAAGCTCTCCAGCTTGGTAATTTTCCCATAAATTTTCTTATCATATACCCCCAGGCCTTTCTTGGAATGACCAACAATGAGACTGTATGAACTTATGAATTATGATTCTTTGGCTTAGTAAGTTGTTAAATATTCCAACTAATTTCTCTTTCAATCAAAATAAAAGATAGAAAGTTTCCTCCGTTCATACAATCGCACATATAATTTAGATGGTGGCCATTGCTGTATCTACCAAACTTATAACTAATTCAAAATAATTCCCACTCACCATAGATAAAAGATTGCTAGCCTTTTCATTTAATTTAACCACTTTTTATTCGCTTACTAACTCGTTAAATTTTATAATATCTATTAATGTAGTTTTTAACTTCTAATACTGTTGATTGTTATCAAAATTAAAAAAAAAAAAAAAAAGGAAACAGGCTATAGAGTGTAAAGAGCATTACATATAAATATTCTTTTAGTTAGATATTTATTCTGGTCAACAAAGCCCGTCTAGCTCAGTCGGTAGAGCGCAAGGCTCTTAACCTTGTGGTCGTGGGTTCGAGCCCCACGGTGGGCGTTTAAATATTTTTTCCGACTTTGCTTGCATGCCTATTTGAAAGCCCAGTGGATAGAGAAACTGAAAATCTCACATATGCCATCTGTTATTCTTACCTCAAATGAACTTTAACTACACGTTGCATTCTAAATTTGCAACCGAGAAACCACCAAAAAAAAAAAAAAAAATGACTCTTATAAAACTTTATTACGTATAAATCATTTCCTTTCCCTGTACTCTCTCTCTCTCTATGGAATCTCAATATTATGTTATTTCTTTTTTAATTAATTTCTCTTTCTAATTTTTTTTTATATTTTATTGCCTAATTTGTGATGGGAATAAAATTTTATATTGAAAAAATATAAAAAGTCAAGTATATTTATCAATATCACCTACCTCATTTCAAATGGATTATTAGTTCATTAAATAGGTTACTACATGTCACTCATATATGTATTTTATACATACATTAAAAGATTTGGATTTAGATTCCGAGATTTAGCTTGGCTTAAATAAAAAATAATTAATAATTTTCTTTATTTATTTTTATTTTTAAATTAATATAAAAATGACATAATTATTTTAAATAATTTGACCATTTATATACACTTAACTATTGAGACACGACTGTTGAAAATGACTGTTTAGATTTATATATATATATATATATATATATAGATATACTAATTCTTAATAGACTGATGGTATTTCAAAATATTTTATTTTTTTCCGTAATAAGGTAAATAATATTTTGAGATAGTGTTTTTAGGCCTCAAGTCTTTTATTTGTGTATTTTTAACATATTTGATACT